AGAGAGACTGGGCTCCTTGCTAATAGTGAGTAACAGGGCTGGGACTAGAATGAAAAGTCTCAGCTCCCTGGCTGACTCAGAGTAGCGGGTCAGAGTTCCCAGCGTGTAGGCAGCCCTGCCCTGTCTCCAACTCATGCTTGCTCCCCACCCCCACCACAAGCCCTGGACTCAGGGGCACTGCATGGCTGGCTGACCTTTCTCAGGCTGGGCTCTTGAAGTCCCGTATGTTTGCAGACAGCCTGGGCAGAGAGGCTCTAAAAAGTAAGCTCGAGAACGTAGGACAGAAGGGAGGAGGAAAGCACTGCAGATGTGGGCTGCAGACACTGCCACCCTCTACCCACCTGGGCAGAGGTGCCACCATCTCCTTGAATAACCTCAGGTGCTGCCAGGGCCAAAAATAAAGTCTTGGGCTGCCCCCTCAATGGAGGGTAAGGCAATGTCTCCTCTGGTTCCTCACCAGGGATACGGGGGAAAAAGCCACTTTTGGCAATAACTCCTTTATGCTGAGGATCACCCTACATCAAGAAGTCCCCACATCCTTATCTGTGAATGGGGTGGTCAGGGCCACCTCCCAGCCAGAGTGAAGACAGCCCCATGGGGCCTGGCACCTTCCAGCTGCCTGGCACACACAGTATGGTGTGAGGCCCTGCCTCCCTAGGACATTCTCCAGCTCCCCAGTTCTGGGATACCCCTAAATCCCCAGCTCCAGGATACCCTCAGGTCTCCAACTCCAAGCCAGACAGATCTAAGAATCTACCTGGAAGCCAGGTGGGCAGCACTGGGTGGGGGTGCCAGGCAGAAAAGTCAGCGGGCAACCTCAACTGCAACAACACCACTCCTAGACATCACCAGGACAGCTGGGTTAGGCAGCAGGCATGGCACAGGCATCAGGGAGCTGGGGTCTCAGGAGCCAAGAGCACATAGCACCCCCTGCCAGGCTGGTTACTCCCGAGCAGTCATGGCCATGATCACTGCCTCATGCCACATCATCACCCAGGCCTGAGAGGAAGGAACACCAAGGATGCCCCCAGGGCAGACCTAAAACCACCGAGTTCAGCCAGGGTGTCAGGAGCTGGCCCGGCCAAAGGGACTCCACACAGTGTTAAGGGACAAAACCCAGAGGCAAGCAGGGACAAGTAACATCCAGGGCAGCGCAGGTGGGCAAGGCACAGGGTCCTGGTGGATGCCATAAGCATGAGTGGGTATTCAGGCTGGGGGTGTGCTCGGGGTTCACAGATGGAGCTGGGGACAGTCCTCCCTGCCCCCTTTCCCACCCCCAAGCCACATTCCCCATGGCAGAGCAGGAAAAGGCAACCTCAACAGCAACAACACCACTCCTAGACATCACCAGGACAGCTGGGTTAGGCAGCAGGCATCAGGGAGCTGGGGTCTCAGGAGCCAAGAGCACATAGCACCCCCTGCCAGGCTGGTTACTCCCGAGCAGTCATGGCCATGATCACTGCCTCATGCCACATCATCACCCAGGCCTGAGAGGAAGGAACCTGCCCCCAGCTTCCAAGGATGCCCCCACAGGGCAGACCTAAATCCACCGAGTTCAGCCAGGGTGTCAGGAGCTGGCCCGGCCAAAGGGACTTCACACAGTGTTAAGGGACAAAACCCAGAGGCAAGCAGGGACAAGTAACATCCAGGGCAGCGCAGGTGGGCAAGGCACAGGGTCCTGGTGGATGCCATAAGCATGAGTGGGTATTCAGGCTGGGGGTGTGCTCGGGGTTCACAGATGGAGCTGGGGACAGTCCTCCCTGCCCCCTTTCCCACCCCCAAGCCACATTCCCCATGGCAGAGCAGGAAAGCCAGCCTGCACGCCCTAGCAGCCCCTCCTGGCACAGCCAGGCCCACTCCAAGCCCAGGCGGCCTCTCATTACCCAGAAGAGCCTCTCAACTGCAAAGCCTCGAGCGCCACACCAACGCCAGGCCTCTAATTGGGAAGTTGTTAACTTCTCCTGGAAGAATGTTAATTTGGCTTCCCTTTCATCGCTCTGCCTCTGCCCGAAGCTCTGGGCTAACAAAACTCAGTGCCAGGTGCCAAGCACTCTCCTTCCTCAACGCCCCTTCCTCACAAGCAGAGGCAGGACAGGCAGAGCAGGACAGTCCGCCACCTGCACCTGCCCCAGGCTGCCAGCACAGCACGGCCATCCCCCAGAGATTGAGCCTGGCCTCCTCTTCTCTCCTCTCTCCAGGAGCACAGTCCCACGGAAACCAAGAGAGACAAATGGCTAAAAGATTAAAATAGTGATAGCCCACCCTGCACTGCCTTGCCACCAGCTGCTGGGCTCCCAGAGGAGCCCCTGACCCACTCAGAGCATTCTGCCATACTCCCTGCAGCTCAGCACCAAATTGCATTTATTGAGCACTTACTATGCGTCAGGCACCACTCCAAGCACTTTATACGCTTCAACCTACTCAGTCCATACCAGGAAGATGCCATTATTATTCCCATTTGTGGGTGAAGAGATGGAGGCCCAGTGCACTCAGATAAATCACCTCAGTTACTCCACCATCAAGTGGCAGAGCTGGGTCTGGAACCTGCAGTCAGGCACTTACACCTGCCTGCCTCCCCCACAGCCTGGGAGCTCCTCAAGGGCCCGGGCCATCACCTGGTCCAAGTGGAGCCATACTGAACAGAGTGAATAAATGCAAGATAAACAAAGACAAGCATCGACCAGTCGCTCTCTCCGTGAACCTAACCACAGATGTGCAGTAAATACAGAAAGGCAAGATAATCTCTCAGTCATGGCCAGGTAGGCAGACGTCCAGGGATGACAGCAACTGCCCCAGGACACCAGGGAGGGGACTCAGAGCCTAAAAATTCTTCCTCCCAGCCTGACCACGTTCCTTCCTTTCACCCAATGAACAGGGACCAGACTGGGTACAGCACTGTGCACCTGAGCAATGACTCTGGGGTCACTATGCTGGGAGGCCTGGCAGTCTGAGAAGAAGAAACAGACACGGCCATGGGTGACCTCAGTGCACAGGGCTCAGTGGAGCTTCCCAAAGGAAACAGACAGCCTGCCCCCCACTGCCCTGCCTGGCCTCCAGGGTCCCCAATGCAGTCACTCAGCTCTTCCTGAGCAGCTGTGCAGATTCCAGGACCAGTCTAGACCTGGCCCCTCCCCACAGGGACACCCAGAGAGCAGGGGCCCGTGCAAACCCCTGATTCCACAAGTGGGTAGAGCCTTCGAACCCACCCCTCCCTCCACACATGGGAGAACTGGACAGGCAGGGACAACAGGGGAAACCCAGGCTTGCCCCAGGAGTCTGAGGCACTCAGAGGCCCCCATGGCTGTCCAGCCCCTTCTGGGGTGTCACAACCCAGACACAGCCCCACAGCCCTGCTCCACAGTATTGCAGCCTCAGCCTGTCCCACTCACCACAACCCTCACACCCCACTCCAGTCCCCCAGAGCTACTGACACTGACAAAACACACCCAGAGAGAATGGGCTCAACACATCTCAGCACATCCGGGCTGGAACATTACGTTGCCGTTAAAAGTCACACTGCAGAAGTATATTTAAGGAGGGAAAATGATCTAGATGTAGAATTAAGTGCAAAAGGCAGGTTAGAAAACAGTTAAGTACAGCTTGATCCCAATTATGTCATAAATACATATTTTATAAAAGTCTGACAAACAAAACACCCGAGTGCTTGCATTTTTCTATACAGAATACCCATTAGTTTTTATAACCAGAAAAATAAAATGTTTAAAGAGGACCCTCAGGCTTCAAGGCTCAGCTGGGGTCCAGCCCTCCAATGAATCCCCTGCAGCTGCTGACCCAGGTGTCCCCTACCTAGCCTGTTCCCCCACCCAGCTCATCACTGGTCCTCCAGTCCCTGGCTGCCACACCTGCAGGTGATACTGTCTGCTGGGGCCAGGGTGAAGCCCAGCCCACAACACCCCTCACCCACCGCCTGCTGAAGCCTTGATAGCCTCTCTCCCTCCAGCAGCAATTACAGGTTGAACCAGAGGGGCTAATTAGCAGCTCATTCCACGGGGCCAGCTCATTAGCAGGGATATTTTGATTGAGATAAGCGGGCTTCAGAGCACGGCCCAGTGCCCGGGAAGGAGATCCAGGCACCCTTCCTCCACGCCCACCTACTTCCCCATGAGAGGGCAGGGCTGGCTGGGCCTCGGCCTCGCACAGCTGTCACCCATCCTGCAGGAAGAGGGACCCCAGGCTGTCCACCTGGATGAGGAATGAGGATGACACGCAGGCCAGCTGCCACTGCAGACCCTCCCCATTCTCTCTGCAACCCTCACCTGTCAAGAACAGAGACAGAGGAGGTGTGGTAGTGCACACGTATAATCCCAACACTTGGGAAGCTGAGGCACAAGGACTACCATGAGTTTGTGGCCAGCCTGGGCTGTGTAGTGAGTTCAAGGCCAGCCTGGAATACATACCAAGATCCCCAGATGCCCTCCCACAGGACACAGAGTGGGAAGGTCCACCACCTCCCATATTCCAGGAGGTTTGCTCCTCATGATGCAGACCACATGGCCATCTGCTCTTCATACAAAGCCAAGGTCACCAAGGTCACAGACACACTACTGGGTCTGGGCTCCACCTGCCTGGGGGGGGGTGTCTGGGTTATACGCTGACTCTGCCTGGGATGCAGCCCACCGAATTCCCCACGTCGCAGTCAAGTGACAGTTTCTTGGAACTCAACTGTCCCAGACCACATGCTCTGGCTCCCTTCTGACCTGGAATCAAGCACACACTTGGTCAACAGTGTGACAGGACCAAGGGCAGTACCTTTCCACCTAAGACCTCCCTGCTGCACGATCCTATTAGTGGCCTGTCCGTTAAATCGGGTGTTGGCAGAAGCACCCCAGGCTCTGAGCTGGTAAGCATTGGCAGAGGGTATGACACCCCCCCATCAGACCTGCAGACCTTGGAGAAGGAGATGGGCGACTCAGAAGAGGTCTCGTGCCCCAGGGCTCACACCGCCTCCACCCTGCCCAGTGGCCCAGTGGGGCTCTTACCTCCAGCTAGGGGTTGATTGGGTGCAGCTGGCCAGGGTCGCCTTAGGGCCTGGGGGTGCAGGAAGCTGTAGGTAGAGAGAGGAGGCAGCTGTCAGCCATCATAGGCAGCAGGGGCCACACACAGATCTAATCTTACTTTCACATAATAAAGAGGACCAGGACATGCTGTGTACACGCATCAACTTCCCATGGTAAGTGTGTGTATTGTGCACTGCAAACATGTACTAATAAAACTAAAATAAAAAGATGAATACTATGCATCCACACACGTCACCTCCTCTCCAGGACACACTCATTCTTTCCTGCATGCTCAGTTTACTCTCACCAGCTAGGCACACAGGGCATCTGGCATCAGGGTGATAGGGCCCTGAGGCCTTAGGGATCTTATCTCTGAGCTCCTCCCCAGCCACTCCTGCTTCACTCCCTCTTCAAATACTCTCCAGGGGCCACCCAGACCAGTGCAAGGGGAGAACACTGGGCGTCCAGGCTCCCGTTCAGCCCCCATCTCACAGGCATAGGAATCACCCCATCTGGAAGGCCAGGGTACAGGGGCGGTCCCCAGCTCTCCACTTCCTGGCCATGTGGCCCTGGGCAAAGCCTCCCCTTCCACCTCTCAGATAAAAATCCCACACCCCTTTCAGAGCTGTCACCAAGGAGTTCCCGTCAGACCTGTGTTTCTCAAAGTCTGTGACACACACCTGCAGGGTGCACAAGGGGACTTAAGTGGTACACAGACAAATGTTTTTCATTTTCGTAGGCATGTGTTTATTTTTCTGTTTTAGAAGAAAACGCGACCGGCACATCTCAGGCATGATTTCATGGATATGTGGCTCAGGGAGCACCATGGTAATCCACCTTCAAATGCTAGTCAGTGCCAAGGCAAGGATTAAGGAAACACAAGCACAGATGGCACCCAGAGACAGTGCCACTCCGAGGGTGAAAGCATCAAACCCAGGGCTCCAGGCAGCGTGCAGGAGGCTGAGCCATGCCCTCCTCACCCTCAGTTCCCCATGCAGCACAGGGACTCATGGGGCCTCCTGCTGCAATGGGTGGGAAGGGTGGGTGGGCAGGGCTCCCAGAGTCAATGTGCCACCAGGTCTAAGGTGCTAATGAATTTGCAGCCACGTGGCAAGAGTGAGGGATGGGGGCAGGGACTTCCTGCTTCAGAGGCACAGACCTTGGAGCAAGGAGAAGGCAGGGAAACAAGCACAGCACAGAACTTGATAACACAGCCACAAATCAGTAGCAACAGGTAAGAGAGGTCTGCCTGTCCCTGGTTCTCCAGCCCCAAATGACACCCCTGTGCCAGCCAGCCCTGGGCAGTGCCTACCAATGGCTGCTCATCCTAGAAGACAGGCTGGGGCATAGTGACGCCAGTCTGGCACAGAAGGGTAGCCAGAGCCTGGATAGTTCCTCAGGCCAGGTCCAGCCAGGCACAGTGTCCTCAGTGGCTGTCCAAGCTGGCTCCCTCCCATGGATTGGCACAAGCCAGTCAGTCATGGGCCAACATGGGTAGCCCTGTCCCTGGCAGGCCTCCAGACCACCTGGCTGGCAGCCCTGCGCCCAGCTCCACCTGAGCTGGCAAGGCAGGCCATCCCCACAGCTCTCGCCAGGTCTGGCTGCCATGTTCCCAACACTGAATGGGCTTCCTGCTCCCTCCCCCAAGCTTCCTGGAAGCTCCTACTCTCCCATGGCATCACAAGAAGTTGCTATGGAAATAGGACCATGGCAGAGAAAATGATGATTTTGGGCAGGCATGGCGGGATCCAGGCACTGTCCTGGACACAGGCCTGCCCATGTACTGAGACCCAGGGATATGGGAATTCTGTCCACAGGCCTCACAGCCAAGGGAGTAGAGGTAGCCCACTTACCTCCAGCTCCTTATACCCTTGGCAGAGCCTGGAAGCTCGAAAACCTCACACCCATGTGCTCAGCAGAATGAACACATATGAGACAACGTGAGATGTGGGAGGGACTGGAGGACCTTGGCATGGTGCATGCAGAACTGGGGGATCAAGCTACACCCAGGAGACACTCTGATCAAAGAGAATGTCACTTCGGGAGGTGCAGTTCTTGGAAGCCCTAAACAGTCACAAAGCCTCAGAGGACTATGCACATTAGACAGATGGGGACCAGATCCATGTACAATGAGGTCAGTCCAGAGTCAGCTGAAAAGCCAAGCCCAGGACAAGGTCTCCTTATCCCCAGACCTGAGCCCTTGGATCAGCATCCCTGGCTTGGCATTCATGCATCTACTCATTCATACATCTACTCATTCATTCACCCACTAACTTTTGTCCAGTGCCTCCTGAGTGCTTGGAGGCTGAGACGACAGAGAATTGAAGGACAGAGAGGAGATGCCTTATCATGGTTGGAAGAGTGCCCAGGACAGATGTTCAGAGATCCAGGAGCTAAAGGGCTCTTGAGGGTTTAGGTCATGTACATCTGAGACCTCTGGATCCCCTGCCTGACTTCCCAATGCTCCCTGGACCCAGGACCCCTATGCCCACCCAAGATCCAACTCCAGGTGGCTATGGGGGTCCCCATATGCACTTCACTATGGTGTAGACATTGCCCTTCCTCAAGGCCAGGTGCTAAGGCAAGGTCCCCAGGAGGAGGGGGATGGGTGGGATGCCCTTAGGTCACTGCCGTGGGCCATTAAGGAGACCGTGGAACCCCAATGTTATCTTCTCATGTGTCCTAGGTATAAAGACAGGTGTCCCATGTTCCCACAACATCCTACATCACCACTACAGGCCCAAAGCAACTGGGCCAATCAATCATAGGCTGGAACCTCCTCCAAAACAGTCAAAATAAACCTTTCCTCAGAGAGTCAATTGCCTAGGGTTTTTATTCTAGTGATGGGAAGCTGGCAAACGTGCCCTACAGTCGCCAGCATCCAGGGCCACCAGGAAAGTGCCTGCTACAGAGTGGCACAGAGGTTGGCCCCTGGCTTCCCGGCCCTGCCAGGCTCAGCATGGCCCCACAACATCCCTTTGTTCCTCCCTCACCCTCTTCCCTGGGCATCTCCCATCTGACAGGCATCGTGTTGAGCCCATAGTGGGCAGAGAACAAGACAGACCCACTGGTTGCCAACCTGACGGAACCTAAATCCCCATCTCTGTCAGCAGCATGCCCACTGTGTGTGGGTGTGCAGGTGTGCATGTGTGTGTGTATACATGTGTGTGTGTATACATGTGTGCGTGCCCTGGGGACCCCACACTGACAGAGCAAGGAGGAACCCGCAGAGGCCCTGGCCAGAACACCCACCAGCTCAGTAGCACCCCTGGCAGCCAGCACTGCCCCCCACAATCTTCCTCACACAGGGGAAACCAAGACCCAGGAGGGGGCCAGGTGGAGTCCCGGGCATGGGGGTGGCAGGAGGGGAGACTGGCTGGGAAAGAAAGGCCTGGGCTGGGATATGTGGAAGGAGAGAACTCCTAGTGCAGAGGGAGCTTCCCGGATAGGAACACAGCCTGGGCCTGCCCTACCGGCCCACACACTGACTGCGCAAGGTAGAGGGTGAAAGGGACATGTTCTCCTACAGCTGCCATCCTGTCCCCACCCACCAAAGGCCACCCCTCCACCCAACACTTCTAGTTACCGCTGCCTGACAGGAAACCCACTGGTGACCAGAAAACAACAGACAGAAAGGGGGTGCAGAGCACACAAGAGACAGAGGTCCATAGAATGAGCAGCACAACCCCAAAGCTGCTGGATGGAGGGAGAGGCAGAGGAGGCCGGACAGATGGGGTCCCTCCCCCAGAGCCATCTGCAGCTGCAGAGAGGGCAGACACGCAGCTGGGAAGGAGTCTGTGAACCAGGGCTTTGTGGAGGTTTTTCAGTAATAAAACTCTTATTTGAAATGAAATCTTACGTGGTGGGGAAAGCCTTTCTATGCTAGACATTAAATCCAGACGCTATAAAGAGAAAATTTGACAAATCTGACTACATAAACATGTAAAACATCTGTACAGCAAAAGATACCATAAACAAAGTTAAAATGCAAGTGAGACAGTGGAAGAAAATATCACTAATATGCAAAGAGCCCCTACAAATCAATAAGAAAAAAGACAAAAGAGAAAATTTGGCAGTGAATTAGAAATCCACAGAGGAAGAACTAAATTGGCCAATAAACGTATGAAAAGATGTTCTATCTCACCAGCAATCAGGCAAATGCAAATGGAAACGACACAATACCATTTTTTGCCCATCAGATTGGGAAAAATTAAAATGATTTATAACAAGCAGTGCTGGCAAGGAGTGGGGAAATGAGCACTCACGGAGTACTGGAGGGAGGGGAACTGGTGCCGCCGCTGGAAGGGTGATTTGGCAACACTGATTTACGTTTTAAGCCTGCACACCCCACAACCAAGCCACCCCACCACGAGAAGCCTCTGCTACAAAAGCAATGGCACAAGCACTCACATAGAAATGGCCCAGAATACTCACACACATTTCGGGTGAGAGCACAGAGAAAACAGTGTTATCAATAAGGGAATACTGAAATGAAATACAGCACATGCACACTGGAATCGCTGCAGCCAGCCCACAAAACACAGCCCGTCCACACGTAACACAGGGGAAACCAGGCTGCAAGACAGTACTCTGGCGGGAGTCGATGCTTATAAATAATGATCTGTCACTACGTGGCCCACCAGACTGGTGACCACCTCCACAGGGCGGGACAGGGTGGGGCCAGGGGGCTTTCCTGGCTTCCATTTGCCTCAAATGCATTGTTGGATTTTTCTTTTGTAATCAGAAAAACAAAATCAATAAAGAGTGAATGGATTTTTTTAACCCTGCCCAGAACCTAATATAAAATGCAGATCTCAGCAGCACAGCCTTGGCTGGAAGGGGACCAGGGTGGGACCTCAGCTGGGGAAGGCAGGCCCTGTGCTAGGCTCCTCTAAACCAAGGCCAGGAGGGGCAAGCGGGTGCCCCAGGCTCACAGCCTTCCAGGCTGGCTGCAGGGGATGCCCAGGCCTCTGGCTCCTAAGCATAACTCTGGCCCCCCAGGACTAGGACATCACAGCCTTGAGGAGCTCTGGGCTGAAGCTGAGGG